GGAGGGGGGGGGATCAAGTTTCGGGAACACGGGACGCTCGGGGTTAACAGGACTCATGCACAAGTCTACAGGAACTACGCGAGTGACGGACACACTATACAGAATACATACTGTTCATCCTCGGGAAAATTTATCCTGCAGCAGAATGTTATAAACACACAGATCAATAAGAAAAGAAAGATACAAAACATGCTGAAGACACAACAATACAAAATCACAAAGAGGAGAAATAAATACACAAAACAATAATTGACACAAAACAGGAAGCCCAAAAAAAGTAAAAGCCAGACAGAGGGCTCCCAGTCATGAACAAAAACCAATGAGAACACAAGGTCGAACTTTAGTCTAAGGCCTCATTCACACGGGAAACGGCCGCCCCGTGCAGCGTGCATGGCAGTATCGGGCCGCTCCCGGGAAGGACAGGTGCTGCGTGTGATTTGTACGCAGCAGCCTGTTCTTCTCTATGGGAGGACGCGGCCATATGCCGCACGCTCACCTGATCTGTACATCCGTGCGGGTGCACGTGCTCAGATGCAGACAGGATCCATCCTGTCTGCGTACGAGTACAGACACTCGCACGGATGTGCAGCTCGAGCGAGTGTGTGGCCGCGTCATCCCATAGAGAAGAACAGGCTGCTGCGTACAAATCACACGCAGCACCTGTCCTTCCCGGGAGCGGGCGGATATGGCTGTGCACGCAGCACGGAGCTGTACGGGCCGGCTCTTAGCAGTGTGAATGCTGCGCATGCCGCACGGATCTGTACGGGCCGGCTCTTAGCAGTGTGAATGCTGTGCATGCCGCACGGATCTGTACGGGCCGGCTCTTAGCAGTGTGAACGGGGGCTGAGGGTCTCAGACAGCCATATACAGTCTGTTGGTGATAAAAATAAGACTCACGGAGCACACATTTATCAGACAAAGAAGAACACTATCTGGGGGGGGTCACACACAGTAGTGCATTGCTACCACTCTATAAGATTCGGGCGAGGGTTGGCCAAACACACCCACTGCAATTACTACAGCGCTTCATGTAGATGTCTTCCAGGAAGTAACATCTGAGGAAACAGTCAGAGGCTGGAGAGACAGTGTAGGTAAGCTGAGACCGCAAGTCCCATAGATACAACTTACCCGTTCTTGAAGTAGAGCACATGAGCCCTCTGCAGCCCGGTCTCGAGAAAGAAGCTGATCTCCTGGTCGGGAGCAGCCGGCCCCGGCTTAGGACTCCGATTCTGGATGTTTGCGGCTTGGGCCTGCGTGGAAACATAGACAATGTGACTGGTCCAGTAGGTGTACGGTACTTCTGGACAGATGACACTTAAGATCTGACATATAAAAGAGACAGAAGTCTTCTGAGGAGGTGAACCTACGGTGATGGAACAAGGAGACCCGTTATTAGGTCTTGTTAAGTGCACCGAGCATCAGATAATTAGCTTTGGAATGGGGGGGTTAGGAGCGCCTGGTAGGAAATGGTCACGGAGCTTGAAAATCCGTACGGAATATGAATTACAATGGATCAGAGGGGCCGACTTCCCCCCGTCATCTCCGGGAGGATAAACAGACACTTCGGCTCTAATTAGCCCAAAGACACGATATCTTATGAATACAAGTGATCTTACGACTGTCGCCCGGTTTTAATTACATTTGATACATTTGGTATACTGAGCTTTGGGTCACGGGAGGACGCTAGTTTGTGTCCTCCCGTAAACCCCAAGGAGAACTATGGGGAAAAGCCCTGACCCCATAGTTCTCCTTTAAGCCCCGAAGAAGGGGAAAGGATATAAAACGCGTTGGCTATACTCATCAATAAATTTTTGATGAGAATCATCCGTCTACACGGCCATTCTTACCGGGCAACGCTAACCCGAGTGACTGAGAACAATCCTCATTTTCCAGCGGACCGTTTCCTCTCCCGGGACGGCGGTAAAGCTCACGTCTCACTCCCCATCAATGCCGGAACATAACTACTTTTATTTCTGCAAGCGATGATGATTTTCTGTATTAATGAGCTGAGCTTTATTAGAAGTCCGCCTGCCAGGAGAACATTCCGACCAATGGCCTTTATGAAGACATCCATCCTTGTCAAGGAATCAACGTTGGGAATTTGGAAAGAACCGGAATCTACTAATGTTTGTTTTAATGGGTAATGAAAGTGCGGCCCCCTGGTGTCTGCGGGCTTATACTCAAATGGGGGGGATTTATCTAAACCGGAGCACACAGAATCTGGAGCAGTTGCCCGTGGCAACCAATCAGCATCTCTCTTCAGCTTGCTTAGGTAAGATTTGAAAATGAGAGAGAGAAGCTGATTGGCTGCAACGGGCAACTGCTCCAGATTTTGTCTGCTCTGGTTTTGATAAATTATTATTAATGTGCGTGACACGAGTCATTGAAAGGGTCTGAATAACTTTATTGAAAAGGAAGTACCAGACGTACTCCGTCTATGACATGCACAACAGATACTGTAAACATGATGAGATCATTCATGGCCGGACCGTAGCCTGGCTGCCATGCTGATGATGATTTGCAGGGTGTCCGATGTCAGGCACCTGCTCTCCTAGAAGCAGGAAACACGGATCACATGACACACGGATCACATGACACACAAGGATATTTAGGGATGGAAGCGGCTCCTTCAGTGAAATCTGGATGTGGATCAGCGTTTCTCGACTTTCTAAAGTCACGGCACCCTTTAAAAGTATGAAAAATCTTGACACCCCAGTCTGAAATGTAATGGAGTTAAAGGGGAGAACCCACACAAAACCCCCAAAAAAGTGGGGTTCCCTTTCAAATCAAAGTCCCCCTTCACATCGGAGCCCCCCCCCCCTTTTACAAGAGGACCCTCCTTTAGTCCTCAGTCACCCTACATATCATCAATCCAAAGTCTGCGAGGCACCACTGAGGAAGTCAGAAGGCCCCCCCGGGTGGCACGGCACACAGGTTGAGAAAGGCCGATGTAGACTATCAATGAGGCCCGTGTGGATGTGTGTTGCAATGCACATGGCGTGACCTGCACATGGCGTGACCTGCACACAGGAACTGTACATGTGTCTTATATCTCACAGGCCCCCAATGCCCACCCACATAGCAAACATACCTGACCCGGTCCTTAATAACCATACAAATGGCACATATTGGAAAACAAGGTGCGTGCTCCCTTTACTACTCTTACGATGCGTGCACCCGCCACCCGCCGATCTGCCAGAAATCCAGTGAGCTCCTAACTTCCTGAACCCTGCCATCCCCTCCCACCAGGCATTTTCATATTTGCATAACTCCTCCCAAGAGCCAGCCCACTACTTGCATCAGGACTGAGGGCTCTTGAAAGCAGTACCGAGCCAGGGTGCTGTCATGGTTTTGGGAAGCTACGTACAACAGCCTGCCGGCCTCTCCCACCAGCCACGATCTGCCCGCATTGTATAGAGAAGCACAAAGACCTAGTGATGATGTCACTGGTTCTAGAATTATGTCATAATAATGGAAAGGCTTTATTTAGAAATGTCACTTGCATGTTAATGGGGGGGAAAAGGGGTGTGGGGCTGGGAAGGCAAATTATAAGCAGATTAAAGTTCAGCTTCAAGCCGCAGTAAATCCCGGCAACTGCAAACAAAAGTGACCCCCAAAATGTAACGTACGTGGATGGGCAAGCAGAGAGAATCCAGAGGACACTCAGTCCATACTAGGAGAAAAGGAAGACGGGGCGCCGCCACTGACTGCAATCAGAAAGGTGAGATGGGGTCGCTCCAGCAGCGCTCATGGACTGTAGTGTGAGCAGGTGACAGGTACTCTTTAGAAGTCCCGGCATTAGAATAGTCAGAGCAGCTCAACTCATAGAAATGTGAGAAATTATTTATTCACCCCTGACAGCCGAGCCGCCTGATTTCCATTTCCTTCCCAATCAATATGAATGTAAAACTCTATTACTTTTATTTCCCCAAAGCCACGAACATTTTCTATATTAATGAGCCGCAAATTATTAAACTTCTGTCCGGGCAAACGAGTCTTATGAAGACATCCGTACGTGTCAGGAAAGTATTACGGCCTATTGACGCTTAAAGCAGAACTCCGTCCTTCCCTTCAGTCTTGCACAGTTGTACCGGCTCCTCTCCTGCACACTGGGAGCTTCTCACAATGTGCATTAGAAGTTGCAGCAAGTCAGATAGAGCTCCGCCCCATTTCCTGGCTGAAGACATCCAGCATCATCTAGCTGTTATCTCCCCAGCCTGACTGTCCCTGGCCCCGCCCCTTTCAGCCATTAGATTTCAGTTCTTTCAATCATGGGGGTTCAATACCACATGGGGGTGTTACTTGGGGTGGTCTGCATGCAAATGAATCCTGCCTTCGACTTCACACTCCCCCAGGCTGCCTGTCTCTGACCCACTTTTTTCATTCATAGGCTTTCAGTCCTGGAGACTCAGCATCACATGTGGGCATTATCTACGGCGGTCTGCATGCAAATAAAGTCTTCCTAGGAACACCCACTCCTGACTGACACCCCCCTATGAAGGTATTTTGATATTTGCATAACTCCTCCCATAGAGCCAGCCCACTGCTTGCCCCAGGACTGAGGGCTCAAGAAGAGTACTGAGGCAGGGTGCTGTGATGTTTTCATGAACATCCCTGCTGACTAGGGATACCCCGATTATCAGGAAGCCAACAGGCGGATCATGACCCGCCGCCCGGCTTCCCGATTGCCTGGTAAGCCGCTGTTCTATCGAAACATCGAATTTACTTCCCAAGGCTGCCTGACCAATCAGGAAGCCAGGTGGCGGGTCATGAGGTGCCGCCTGGCTTCTTGACTGGTCAGAAAGCCAGGCTGCCTAGCAACAAGTGAAGTAGGCTTCCTAGCCAATCCGGAAGCCGAGCTGCATGTAATGACCCGCCTCCCATCTTCCTGATTGGCTAGGAAGCCGGCTTCACTTGTTGCTAGGCAGCTCGGCTTCTTGACCAATCAGGAAGTTGGGAGGCGGGTCATAATTGGATCGAAAGCTGGCTTCCTGGTTGGAAAAAAATCTGGCTCCATGCTCCCTCGGCACTGCCGGTCAGAGGGAGATCTCCCTTTGACTGGAAGTTCCGGTATCGGAGCATTTGGACGAATACGCGGTATCGGTGCATCCCTACTGCCGACCCCTTTTATCAGCCGTGATCCCACCACGTGGAGCAAATAAAGAACCCAACCATAGGTATTAGAAAGGGGGATGAACACAGCTAATGCCTGACCATGACGCCCGTGGCTGCCCAGATCTAGCTGAGGACGGTCTGCCGAGTGACACCCAGGACAGAGCGCGCAGCATGCACTCACCCTCTCCACCTCCTGCAGATAGAGGAGGGCGATGTCTCCGGCCTTCTCGTAGCAGTTGATGATTTCTGGGTCCCGGTCCACATGGAGGCTGTTCATAGAAGAAGATGTTGGCAGCTTTTCCAGACACAGACCTGAAAAAAACCCACAAAAATCAGCTTTAGTTCTATGCCAGACAACAACAAAATCTGGGCCATGCCTATAAGGCCTCATTCACACAGCTTAGGGTCCTGTCTGCGTCCGAGCACGGATGTGTAGTTCGGGTGAGAGTACAGCGGGACACGGCCGCGTCCTCCCATAGGGCAGAACAGGCTGCTGGGTACAATCACACGCGGCCCCTGTCCCTCCCAGGAATGGCCCGATACAGCCGTGCACGCCGCATGGATCTGTCCGGGCCGACTCTAAGGTGTGTGAATGAGCCCTAAGTGTTACTAAACCCCAAATGGCAAAATAATATATAATTCACATGACCTGCTCATGGGCCCAAACATGCATCTGACTTTCCTGAGCGTTTTCAGTTCTAGAATAAGGCCCCATTCACACTGCGCGATTCGCAAATGCTTGCATTGAGCAAGCGAGAATCGCGGCAAAATCCGCTCCAAAAAGGGTCCTGCTGTAGCGACACACGACCCGCGACAGCAGGACCCTTTGCCCCATTGCAAAGCATTGAAGAGCGATATCGCGGGAATTACCGCGCGATAAATCGCTCAATGTGAACGGGGCCTAGGTGATCTCTTAAATTCTGCTGTTGCACTTCCTGTATGAGGATGGCTATGGCGGCCCCCCCATGGTCTCCTTTTGGACTAGCGTAGTCGCCCCCCTGGGTGCATTCTCCGACGGGACTACAATGTAATGCGATGACGCAGCAAGGCGCTGGACTGTAAAAGCTAAAATGGCGCCAGCAGGTGACAATCCGACTCGTCCACGCAGCAATTCACTTTTATGCCGGCGCTATGCTGCTGTCGTATGTCGGAGGTACCAGCATATAATGAGACACCAGACACGCATGCGCATTGCATCATGGGATTTGTAGTCTGTGGCCGGCGTTACACAGAAATCAACACTGCTCCCAGCTGGAAGTCAGACGCCCTTCCCAAATCCCATAATGCATTGTGCCGGCTTCTCCACAGACTTCTCAGCGGCTGCCACTGCAATGTGCGATATGACGGACGCGTCAGACATTTGTACATCATTTGGCGGTTCCAAGCGGGCACAAAAAGACATCTGTACGGCTTGTACACATTCTGCTGCACATGTACATGTCATGCTTGCTTGGAGCAGTGTTGATTTCTGTGTAATGCCGGCCTCAGACTACATATCCCGTGGTGCAATGCGCATGCGTGTGACGTGTCGGAGCGATGCGGCCATTTTAGAACACCCCGACGCCGCTATGTCTTGGCTGATCTGATGACAGGTTCACTTTAAAAGTGGAAGACAAAAAGCGCTCCAGTGCGATATTTCCACACGCACATCCAGCAGGAAAATAAAGCAGACGACGTCGACTTCCTCCTCTGTGGGGAGCGCAGCCAAACACAACATGTCAGTGAACCGAGGAGATCGAGTGCTGGGATTAAGCTCCCTACACGGAACACCTCCTGGCTGCAACATCAGAGAGCTGGAACCGGGACTTCAATGCCGAGCAAAAACCATTTCTGCCGGCATAATATGCGGGATTAGAAGGGAATTAGGCAGTTAGCGCGCGCCAGGCTCCGGGGAGTGGCTGCTAGGCGTGCAGTCTGGCCAACGGCTGCGAGGCCGAATTCCTCAACAATCTCTCACATGCCCATCCCGGTGCACACGCCAGGGGTCAGGTTTACTGAAAGCCACTGCTGCTCTCTCTCCTTGTGCAGGGTGACTGGTCTTGTCTCCGCCCCCTCCCGTAATAAAGACCGGTCACTGCTGCTCTCTCCTTGTGCAGGGTGACTGGTCTTGCATCCTGTAGTGGGCGTGGCCTGCTAGACCCCTCCCACACCTCTGCTCTCTGCACAAGCTGTGTACAGCCCAGTGATGATGTCACTGTTACTTTTACAAAGCAATAGCTTAAGTTTACAAAACACATTTGGTGTACACAAAGTGGCAAGTTCTTGTGCCCGGAGTTCAAATTTAAACATTCAAAATTTCATAAAAGCGTATTTTCCGTCAACCTCAAAGTAACCCCCAGACCCTGAACATCAAATTAACCTGAAAGGTTACATAAAAAAGCAAAATTCCTGATTTTATCATAAAAAAGTAGCCAACTTCCTGGATGTTGGATTTCTGCAGCATCCCCCCCACCCCCGTACTCAATGGTTCGTACCTCTGCCTCCCCCCTTACTCAGTGATTCATACCTCTGCCTCCCCCCTTACTCAGTGATTCATACCTCTGCCTCCCCCCTTACTCAGTGATTCATACCTCTGCCTCCCCCCGCCCTTAGTGGTTCGTACCTCTGCCTCCCCCCTTACTCAGTGATTCATACCTCTGCCTCCCACCGCCCTTAGTGGTTCGTACCTTTGCCTCCCTCCTGTGCTCAGTGGTTTGTACCTCTGCCTCCCCCCCTTACTCAGTGGTTCATACCTCTGCCTCCCCCTCCTTTACTCAGTGGTTCGTACCACACGGACCCCTATGTCAGTACAGTAATGGTTCTCAGGAGTCTTTAAATGGCGATTGCTCCTCATTATAGCGGCATTTGGCGGCACCGGCGGTGGAGGAATTTTACCGTCTTCATTACTCGGACGTCTGTAATTGATACTTTGTGACTTTAAACCAAACTGGTCACAATGAGCACATGGAAGCGGCCGGCACCATTTCTATTTTATGAAGATGCTTCTAGTTCCCTGACTGTCATGCTCATCCTCGGGCTTCAGCTATCAGATACTGGCTGCACGCTTGTTCTGGGTTTCGTCATTGTAGAGACGTTCAGGTGGCGGACGTGTCCTTTAAATAAACACAATTACTGTGCACACGATCTCCTTCCTCCAGCCGCCACCAAGATCTAGTTCTCCGATCCAGGGGGGGGCCTCTAATGTGCGGAGAGGAGGCGGAGTCATCGCCTTGTATCCCGTCCGCCGCGTTTGTTCTCGGAAGTTTAATCTTTGCAGCGATGACTGAACAGGACTACATGACGGAACGGAATTAATGGCACGCTGCAGGAGGACCTGTCACTCTGTCACCGGGGCCGCCGGCTCCGTGCAATGTGATCCAGTCACAGCTGAGAATGGAGATCAGGGGAGGACGAGGACGCAGCGCCCCCTGGTGACCGGACGTGGAGTGCGCTAACTTCAATATAGACAGCACACCAAGTATCAGATTTATTCTTTCATGTTCAATGAACATGTGACATCTACTTCCTGGACTGAGATGGTGGCTCAGAGGTGACACAATCATGTAAATCCTAGCGTCTGTGCAGTTCTTGGCTGTGTTCACAAATCTCTGCCACAGATCAGCCCCTGCCTGCAGCCTCTCACCTTGTGACTGCCTACATAGTTACAATGTTGCAGTCTGATCCCTGGGGGGAGGGGAGACTGAGGAAATGCTTCCTCCTGCCTGCAGCAGACTGATCACTGGGGGAGGGGAGACTGAGGACATCATCAGTCTGGGCAAAGTCACTGACTGGAGGTGAAGGACAGATTTATAAATAATAAAAAGTGCTTTTGAAAAATTATACTGTTACAGTAAATTGTGAATTGTTATGCTGCATCTGGTGGTGACCCGCGTGTGTATGCCTGCAGTCTCTGACCATCTCCTGGTTCCATGCCTGCAGTCCCTGACCGTCTCATGTAGCATGTCTGTAGTCTCTGACCGTCTCCTGTAGCATGTCTGCAGTCTCTGACCGTCTCCTGTAGCATGTCTGCAGTCTCTGACCGTCTCCTGTAGCATGTCTGCAGTCTCTGACCGTCTCCTGTAGCATGTCTGCAGTCTCTGACCGTCTCCTGTAGCATGTCTGCAGTCTCTGACCGTCTCCTGTAGCATGTCTGCAGTCTCTGACCGTCTCCTGTAGCATGTCTGCAGTCTCTGACCGTCTCCTGTAGCATGTCTGCAGTCTCTGACCGTCTCCTGTAGCATGTCTGCAGTCTCTGACCGTCTCCTGTAGCATGTCTGCAGTCTCTGACCGTCTCCTGTAGCATGTCTGCAGTCTCTGACCGTCTCCTGTAGCATGTCTGCAGTCTCTGACCGTCTCCTGTAGCATGTCTGCAGTCTCTGACCGTCTCCTGTAGCATGTCTGCAGTCTCTGACCGTCTCCTGTAGCATGTCTGCAGTCTCTGACCGTCTCCTGTAGCATGTCTGCAGTCTCTGACCGTCTCCTGTAGCATGTCTGCAGTCTCTGACCGTCTCCTGTAGCATGTCTGCAGTCTCTGACCGTCTCCTGTAGCATGTCTGCAGTCTCTGACCGTCTCCTGTAGCATGTCTGCAGTCTCTGACCGTCTCCTGTAGCATGTCTGCAGTCTCTGACCGTCTCCTGTAGCATGTCTGCAGTCTCTGACCGTCTCCTGTAGCATGTCTGCAGTCTCTGACCGTCTCCTGTAGCATGTCTGCAGTCTCTGACCGTCTCCTGTAGCATGTCTGCAGTCTCTGACCGTCTCCTGTAGCATGTCTGCAGTCTCTGACCGTCTCCTGTAGCATGTCTGCAGTCTCTGACCGTCTCCTGTAGCATGTCTGCAGTCTCTGACCGTCTCCTGTAGCATGTCTGCAGTCTCTGACCGTCTCCTGTAGCATGTCTGCAGTCTCTGACCGTCTCCTGTAGCATGTCTGCAGTCTCTGACCGTCTCCTGTAGCATGTCTGCAGTCTCTGACCGTCTCCTGTAGCATGTCTGCAGTCTCTGACCGTCTCCTGTAGCATGTCTGCAGTCTCTGACCGTCTCCTGTAGCATGTCTGCAGTCTCTGACCGTCTCCTGTAGCATGTCTGCAGTCTCTGACCGTCTCCTGTAGCATGTCTGCAGTCTCTGACCGTCTCCTGTAGCATGTCTGCAGTCTCTGACCGTCTCCTGTAGCATGTCTGCAGTCTCTGACCGTCTCCTGTAGCATGTCTGCAGTCTCTGACCGTCTCCTGTAGCATGTCTGCAGTCTCTGACCGTCTCCTGTAGCATGTCTGCAGTCTCTGACCGTCTCCTGTAGCATGTCTGCAGTCTCTGACCGTCTCCTGTAGCATGTCTGCAGTCTCTGACCGTCTCCTGTAGCATGTCTGCAGTCTCTGACCGTCTCCTGTAGCATGTCTGCAGTCTCTGACCGTCTCCTGTAGCATGTCTGCAGTCTCTGACCGTCTCCTGTAGCATGTCTGCAGTCTCTGACCGTCTCCTGTAGCATGTCTGCAGTCTCTGACCGTCTCCTGTAGCATGTCTGCAGTCTCTGACCGTCTCCTGTAGCATGTCTGCAGTCTCTGACCGTCTCCTGTAGCATGTCTGCAGTCTCTGACCGTCTCCTGTAGCATGTCTGCAGTCTCTGACCGTCTCCTGTAGCATGTCTGCAGTCTCTGACCGTCTCCTGTAGCATGTCTGCAGTCTCTGACCGTCTCCTGTAGCATGTCTGCAGTCTCTGACCGTCTCCTGTAGCATGTCTGCAGTCTCTGACCGTCTCCTGTAGCATGTCTGCAGTCTCTGACCGTCTCCTGTAGCATGTCTGCAGTCTCTGACCGTCTCCTGTAGCATGTCTGCAGTCTCTGACCGTCTCCTGTAGCATGTCTGCAGTCTCTGACCGTCTCCTGTAGCATGTCTGCAGTCTCTGACCGTCTCCTGTAGCATGTCTGCAGTCTCTGACCGTCTCCTGTAGCATGTCTGCAGTCTCTGACCGTCTCCTGTAGCATGTCTGCAGTCTCTGACCGTCTCCTGTAGCATGTCTGCAGTCTCTGACCGTCTCCTGTAGCATGTCTGCAGTCTCTGACCGTCTCCTGTAGCATGTCTGCAGTCTCTGACCGTCTCCTGTAGCATGTCTGCAGTCTCTGACCGTCTCCTGTAGCATGTCTGCAGTCTCTGACCGTCTCCTGTAGCATGTCTGCAGTCTCTGACCGTCTCCTGTAGCATGTCTGCAGTCTCTGACCGTCTCCTGTAGCATGTCTGCAGTCTCTGACCGTCTCCTGTAGCATGTCTGCAGTCTCTGACCGTCTCCTGTAGCATGTCTGCAGTCTCTGACCGTCTCCTGTAGCATGTCTGCAGTCTCTGACCGTCTCCTGTAGCATGTCTGCAGTCTCTGACCGTCTCCTGTAGCATGTCTGCAGTCTCTGACCGTCTCCTGTAGCATGTCTGCAGTCTCTGACCGTCTCCTGTAGCATGTCTGCAGTCTCTGACCGTCTCCTGTAGCATGTCTGCAGTCTCTGACCGTCTCCTGTAGCATGTCTGCAGTCTCTGACCGTCTCCTGTAGCATGTCTGCAGTCTCTGACCGTCTCCTGTAGCATGTCTGCAGTCTCTGACCGTCTCCTGTAGCATGTCTGCAGTCTCTGACCGTCTCCTGTAGCATGTCTGCAGTCTCTGACCGTCTCCTGTAGCATGTCTGCAGTCTCTGACCGTCTCCTGTAGCATGTCTGCAGTCTCTGACCGTCTCCTGTAGCATGTCTGCAGTCTCTGACCGTCTCCTGTAGCATGTCTGCAGTCTCTGACCGTCTCCTGTAGCATGTCTGCAGTCTCTGACCGTCTCCTGTAGCATGTCTGCAGTCTCTGACCGTCTCCTGTAGCATGTCTGCAGTCTCTGACCGTCTCCTGTAGCATGTCTGCAGTCTCTGACCGTCTCCTGTAGCATGTCTGCAGTCTCTGACCGTCTCCTGTAGCATGTCTGCAGTCTCTGACCGTCTCCTGTAGCATGTCTGCAGTCTCTGACCGTCTCCTGTAGCATGTCTGCAGTCTCTGACCGTCTCCTGTAGCATGTCTGCAGTCTCTGACCGTCTCCTGTAGCATGTCTGCAGTCTCTGACCGTCTCCTGTAGCATGTCTGCAGTCTCTGACCGTCTCCTGTAGCATGTCTGCAGTCTCTGACCGTCTCCTGTAGCATGTCTGCAGTCTCTGACCGTCTCCTGTAGCATGTCTGCAGTCTCTGACCGTCTCCTGTAGCATGTCTGCAGTCTCTAACCCTCTCCTGGTTGCATGCCTGATGGCTTTCTGTGGCACTGCATTCATTGAATATCATGAGCAGCCATTTAGGGAATAATATATCCCCCCCACTTCCAGGTGTCACTGTAACCAGATATTCAATGTTATTCACTTCCCCTCCCAGTGGTCACAATGTTATGGCTGCTTGGTGTATAACATACATATATACACGCACACACTGCATGAACATCTTACATACAACACGCTATATACATGTTTCCACACTGTGTCTGTACACTACATGCGATGTCATAGCACAGAGCGGTGCTGCCCCCCGGTGGTCAGGTCTGTGTGGTGCAGGGAAAGCAGTCAGTGATGTTGGTCGAGCGGTCACATTACCTTTGGTGGAGAAAGCTTCGGCAACCATGCGCAGCTTATAAGGAGGCGCGGCCACCAGCGGGATGTCATCTAGCCCCACCCAGGCATAGATCCGGAGCGCTTCCTTATACTCGCCTTCCATGTAGTTCAGCTTGGCCATGATCAGGTTGGCTTCCTGCATGAACTCCGACTGTGGAGAGAGAAGAATGACGGGTGACAACCTTCCCCATCCATCCGGCTTCTTCTACCTCACAGCTGACAGTATATAAAAACACATAATAATGGGCTCTGTGCTCCTCTATAGAGAAATGTGACCGCGGCGGCTTCTCGGGATCTCTAGAACACAAGCAGGTCGGGAGAATATTATTTTCATCTTATTGAGACTTTTCAACTCTCCGACCCCTTCCAAGAAAATGTAATTTCCCCCTAAAATTTATATTTTACCTTCCCCGAGGTCAGGTAGAAGACTGAAGGGGAGGACGGAGGTCAGATATAAGACCGAAGGGGAGGGATGGAGGTCAGATAGAAGACCGAAGGGGAGGGATGGAGGTCAGATAGAAGACCGAAGGGGAGGACGGAGGTCAGATAGAAGACCGAAGGGAAGGACGGAGGTCAGATAGAAGACTGAAGGGGAGGGATGGAGGTCAGATAGAAGACTGAAGAGAAGGACGGAGGTCAGATAGAAGACTGAAGAGAAGGACGGAGGTCAGATAGAAGACTGAAGAGAAGGACGGAGGTCAGATAGAAGACTTACAGGAAGTGGGCAGAAAAGCAGCGCCATTTAGGCTGGGTTCACACCTAGGCGTATTACGCATGCACGTCTGTCGCGCGACCGTCACACTGTTTTTTTACCGCGATTCGCGGTAAAAAAATCGCGCGACCGTCGCGCGATTCCGAAGGCTACTTGGCTGTATCCCAATGGAAAACGCCCTCCAAAACGGCCCAAAGAAGTACATGTACTTGTTTGGGCGTCAGCCGTTTTGTAGCGCGTTCAGACGGGCGGAAATACGGAAAGGTGTGAACCATACCCATAGAAAACAATGGGATTTTCATGGTTGTACGTTTTGTAGAGCGTTGAACGCCCGACAAAACGGAAAGGTGTGAACGGGGCCTTAGAGGTGGAGAGGGTTTGCATGGGTCACATGACTGACACCACCCCAGCCCACACAGACCACCCTTCAGAGCACGGGGAGGATGACAATGACGCAGCAGATCGGAGGACGGGGATCTGGATGGAATGATGATTTTTAATCCGCAGCGTTCGCCTGACAGCCGTCATCATTATTAATGGTGCGCAGAGCCGGGCGGGGAGCGAACAGTCCTCCCATGCGTCTCCAGTCCTCCCATCTGTCTCAGGCCATTAGGATATTAAACAGCTGGCCTCCAACCAAATCACACTCATCGTACCGCACACTGCTCTGATTATACAGGGGGGCCCGAATGTGGGTGAGATATACCAGACCAGAGCCGCGACAGCAGAGGGTCAGAGACGGCAGAGCCGCGACAGCAGAGGGTCAGAGACGGCAGAGCCGCGACAGCAGAGGGTCAGAGACGGCAGAGCCGCGACAGCAGAGGGTCAGAGACGGCAGAGCCGCGACAGCAGAGGGTCAGAGACGGCAGAGCCGCGACAGCAGAGGGTCAGAGACGGCAGAGCCGCGACAGCAGAGGGTCAGAGACGGCAGAGCCGCGACAGCAGAGGGTCAGAGACGGCAGAGCCGCGACAGCAGAGGGTCAGAGACGGCAGAGCCGCGACAGCAGAGGGTCAGAGACGGCAGAGCCGCGACAGCAGAGGGTCAGAGACGGCAGAGCCGCGACAGCAGAGGGTCAGAGACGGCAGAGCCGCGACAGCAGAGGGTCAGAGACGGCAGAGCCGCGACAGCAGAGGGTCAGAGACGGCAGAGCCGCGACAGCAGAGGGTCAGAGACGGCAGAGCCGCGACAGCAGAGGGTCAGAGACGGCAGAGCCGCGACAGCAGAGGGTCAGAGACGGCAGAGCCGCGACAGCAGAGGGTCAGAGACGGCATGGGTCTTCTTAAGCTGTGGCTGCGACATGCCCCGCCCACTCCCTAGCAACCAATGACATTGTTGAATGCCGTCAGGCGGCCTGCACAGCATACTATGCTGCCTCTGCCCCGGTCCTGCAGCACAAGCTACTACCCTGTAAAAGCCGCCCGCCAGCCTTGTGGCAACCTATGACGTCATCGGTCGCTCTGATACTGCGAGTGGGCGGGGGGAGGGGAGGAAGGACACGCTTTGTAATGGAGACTTTGGGGCCCCACATTGTGTATTTTTCTTCCCTTCACATCAGTGTGTTATTTGCACGGTTCCGTGTGATCAATGCATGCTACCATGGAACGCACGCACCGTCCATTACAGCGCGTGAGGTGCTCTGTGTTCCCATTCATTTGAAGGGCGCCCCTGGCTCTGGCCGCAATCCGCTTGTCCGTGCAGCAACACATGGTACCGCGTTAACGCGCTTTGTACTCGAGATTCTGCATAACACCCTAACCACGGCCAGAGCGCTGAACGAAGAATGTGATGGGTCATGTGACAGAGGTCTCCTCCTATCCCGTTCTCTGTAGGACTGCGCCCCGCATTCCGGGTCTGGCTGGTGCGCCGGGCTTCATAAACGGGCCTCTAAAAGACGGGCTTGGCATCAAAATTGGGGCAAAGGATATAATGGTCCGCTGCCTAAAACAACCAATCAGAGGCATTCATTCTCTCACCTATATAATGGGAAAAAACCTGAACTCTAATTGGTTGCTGCAAGTCACATGGAGCCTTTCTCCAGCTTTCTACCCCATCCCACTGATAAGATCATGTGACAGGAGGGTGAGGAGCCACGGGGGCATCCACCATGGCCTTACCTTGAGGTTCCCTCTGTCCAGGGCGGCTGTCAGGTGTTTGCGGACTTCGGTCAGCTTCTGCCGGGGCCCGTGGGGGCTAGCTCCTTGCTTGATGGGGTTCTCCTTTAAGTATTGCTCCAGCCCGGCCTCCCCCAACAGCAGCTCGGCCATGTCATCTGCCGGACACAAAGCAAGAGAGAAGCCAATTACCCATCAGGGAGACACCGGGCAGAGCATTCCTCCTGTCATCACAGACAGGGCCGTGTGGCATGACGTGTAC